CGGGGCCCCACTTGCCGGGGAGCGGGGCGCTGACCTCTGGGAACGCTGCGGAGGGGAGGTTTTTTCCTTTTGTCCCCTCCACAGTAACCCTGTGAAGAAGGGTAATTTATTATCTATAAATTTTTCTTACATTTTGCTGCTGTCTTGCGGCTTAAGCAGCTAGAGGCGGGGCTTTTTCTTACAGCTAATTTTACATTCTAGACCTAAGTTAACTTACTTGCACTTTGACATTACTAACTTATACTAGATCAGTTTTGTTGTACTATATTATACATACTATGTAAATTGTTATTATATGGCTTGGTAATTTTTTTTCACCATTCAAACATCATTCATACTGGAGGGGAGGTTTCCTAGGTCTCGCCTTGCAAAAGGCAAGCTTTCCAGTCTTGTTAAGTAGTCGGTTTTTGATGCTCGCTCGAATTTCTCTCGAACAGAAAGTATTTGTGTGTGACAAGACGTAAAATATGTCAAACCGTTGCGTGCATCGGATCTTGGAGCTTTTCTTCCGAATTTTGAGAAATGGAGAGCGTAATTACGTTAATTTTCACTCCGCAAGCGCACGGTGATTCAGCTTCCTTCAGGGCTTTCATGACTCTATGGAGACTACTACGCGTGGTTTGTGGCCTACACAATCTCCTGATGTGACCTCGTAAGATTTATTTCTGTGGAGAATCTGAAATATCGCATATTTGCGACTAATCTTCACAAGGGAGATGAAATATGGCGGAATATACTGGAAAAAAATCTCCACAATACCCAGAGTTCGGCAGTATCGACAATAGGTGTATTTAAAATACATATTTTTAATAAATTTGTCGTTTGTATTTTGTATCGAAAATACATATTTGAATATGTATTTTGTATTTTGTATTTTGTATCTTGTATCGAAAATACATATTTGAATATGTATTTTGTATTTGTATCGAAAATACTTTCTGATGGTATTTTGAATTTTTAAAATACAAAAAATGTTTTTTAGTGATCTGCCGTTGAAAATTAGAATTTAAGTATACAAACCTGCAAAACTCTAACATCGATATTACGAATTTTTGATATTTCGAAGCAGTTTTTCATTTCATGCAGCAATTTGTAAAATAAGTTTTTGATAACTCAAAATTTTGGTTAATCGAAAAAAAATTATTTCCGGAGACACTTGGAGAAATCAAATATTGGATTTGGGAGACCACTTTACAGACGTTATATTTCTGTATCACGTTATGCTTTACCACCCGATTGAAAAGTGATTGTGCGCACTGGGTAAGGGCTTATACTTGCACCGTGTAAAGAATTATTTTACGATACGAATGTGGAAATTGATAAATCATCAAAATTTGCTGTTCTAGAATGACCATAAGAGTTGTTCACCGTTATTGAAGAGTTTGGTTCCTATAGGGCGAACACAAATTTTAAAACACACTTAAAGCTAACAATTGGTATTGCGAGAGTTTGGCAAAATACGCGAAAAAGTATTTGAAATACACAATACAAACCACTTACAGAAATTTTAGATACAAAATAGTATATAATAGTACAAAAACAACCAATGATTCACTTTCACAATTTACTTCTCAAAACTTTGCTGCGGTTTGCAATTCTATAATTTTTGTATAGATATAATAATATTTATATAATAATAAGCAGTTTGTCTGTACTTGGCGCGGCAGTCCGCATACAGACCAGGAGATATCAGCAGCGTCCCGGTCTCGCGGCCATGGATTACGGGGTACGTGTGGACACAGCAAAATATACTGGAACATTGCGAGGAAAACGCACTCTATAATCTTGCCCGACCGGGAATCGAACCAGAGTCGCGCCGTGTAAAGCGAGCACGCTGGCCAATGAAATAAACTGCGAGGGCAGCATAATAAGCAGTATTTTATAAATTTAAATGCACGCAATGGTGTACAATGAACTATGAATTTCACTGGTCATTCTTTTTACTAGGGAACTACACAATTTAGAGAATTCCTTTTTGTGTGACGACTGAATTTGAGAACTATAGAAATTAGTGCTCCCGTAGATCAAATTCGCATAGGAGGAAAATTAACAAAACTGAGAATATTGATGCTAATGCCAGAAAACAAAGTTTAACATCTGTTTTTTTTTCAATACTCGGAAAAAACCAAACGATGAAACAAAATTTGATAATCTTGATACAAAATTCCGTGTTAATGAATGAGACCCTTATCAGTTACAATAACAAGAAGAAAATTTAGTGATCCAGTGTTTGAAGAGCTAGTAATGTTGAAGGGAAATGTGCCCAATTATATAGAATTGCAAACCACAACCAAGTTTTGGGAAGTAAATTATGAAACTGGGTCTTTAGTTGTATTTTTAAAAGTATTTTAAAATACCATTTTTTAACTAAAATGTTTTTCTGAAAGTGTTTTGTATTTGGTATATAAATACTTTCAGAGAAGTATTTTGTATTGTGTATTGTGAAATACTTTTTCAACTCTGGCAATACCACAGAACCAAGTACCGAATGAACTCCTTTAGCAGATGTCAAGAATGCATCGGAGCCAAACTGTGAGCAGTTCCAGTATTACTCGCGCAACTTTTCTTGATCGATGGGTTGAAGCAATGTGGGTAGAGTGGGGGGGTATCACTTACGAAATCGACCCAGATTTTATGAAGCAATGCCAATCTCTGAAGAATCAGTCATGCCTTCGCAACATTCTCAATAATTTGCTATCTAACTTTCTCAGGAGTTCGAGGTATCTCCTGTGATAGATCTTTATCTGCTTTGGCGTTTTCTTTAGATTTTTGGAGAAAATAACGGATAGAAGTTCAAGTTTTCAAAAGAAAATTGTTTTTATTTCGCGCCAGTGAAGATGTGTTCGGAATGTTGTCATCAGTTCTCGCTGATCAATTGTTTATTGTGGCTAAGTTGCTCGAGTAATACCTACAAAAACATATTTAAACTTTCCGGTCGCGAAAAACCACTTCCCTCCGGCGATTCTACCGACTGCCGTGTCTTTTTCCGTGGCGTCCGTGGCCTCGTCCGCCGAGGCCAATCTCTCGCGCGGCCGGCAAATTTATGAAATGGTCGCACTGTACTTCTAAATTAATAAACCTGCAAAAATGTTTCCTACCAGCATTTTTTTTTCTTCCGCGCTGAAATTCGAACTAAAGTCAGAAGAGCAAACTCGTTATACGCTTCATCACTTCAATTCGCAGTCGCTCAGCCGTGCTCTTGTTTTGCACATGCTTAAATAACACCAGCGCTTAAACAATAATAATCATTTTTGCCGACATGTAATTGTAGACAAATATAATTGTTCAACGAAAATATACCGCTATTTTTTAAAGTCTTTTGTTCTGTTCCTAGAAAAAAATGGATCCGTTGTTGGGAATAAGTTTTTAATAAATTGCGAAAACTACTCTCTTAAAAAAACTAGTACACATTTTCGTTTAAAATCTAGTCACATTTTCTAATAATATAATATTTTAAAGATCCTCTTCATAAATATAAGATTTCATTACCAAAAAAATAGATATTCAATATTGTAGTTGTAGGAAGACTCCGGAGATTTTTTCTAACTTTTGCAATTTTCGAAATATTAGAGATTTCAATGAAAATAGTCATTTTTCAAGCGTTCTCCACGCTATCCGAGGACAAATTTTAATAAAAAAAATTGGAGTCGTCTTTGAGAAAATTCTGAAAATGTTGACGCTGCTTTTAAAATAGCCTCCAAAAATATCTATTTCAAATTCTTAGGGCTCCCAGTTTGTGTAGATCAGTCGGGAAATGTCAATTTTGGAGAAAATAGTCCGAACACTTGCAGGTGCTACAAAGGTGAACATGAACAAAGGTTTGGGCAGATGGACATATTGCTGTCAATCGATTTGTGAATACCCCCACTGTATTATTTTCCTCGTAATTCGACAGTAATAATGTATATCATGTATTGTTTAAGTATTTTTTTCGCGTTGAAGAGTTTAACTGGAACACAAACGCGAACGTCCCTACGAAGACGACTCCATTATGTATATATTTATATTTTCGGTAATGGGGATATTTGTGAGGCAATTTTTACTCCGCCGGGATGTGATGTATATTATGCCACTAGTTTATGTTGTACGAGTACATGTTTTGACAACGAGCGACGTAGAGTTCTCAAATTTTTACGAATGCAATAACGCATCATTACACAAAAGTTCCATACGTTTTTTATACAACAGCATTACAAAATGTATACGAAAATCAATACCGCCAAGGTGCACTCGAGGTCACTAAATGATGGCATACGTTATTTACATGTATAGTGTGGGGATCTGGCTTTTTTGCGTGCGGGGAGCGAGGATATTGTGACTTATTTGTTTTACTTATTGTCGTTGCCGTTTTAATTTTTGCCTATGGACACTTGGAGCAATATACACTTGGGACATTTAGTAGTTGCGGACTTGAGGGAGGGGGTGGAGCAGTTTCCAAAAACACCGAGCGCCTTCATAATACCTGTCCCCAAAATCCTCTGCAAAATTACAATTTCGAATCTTAACCTGCTGCCTCGAGACCCTATAGCGCATGGTGCGACAGTCGAGATATAATATTTGTATGAATGAAGATTTTCTTTCGGTTGCTGTAGGCCATAAGTGAAATAAAACAAATTACGTTAAAACACAATTTAAAATTATCTAGTTACATATTTATATTTTGCGGTTCATAAAAAGCGACATTATTGTCTGGAATTTTTTCAATTCATTCCGAATTCCCATGCATGATAAATTTTAAACCTAGAATGAAGATGAACAATATGTAAAGAAATGCAAAAGAAGAAAACTAATATTAGCATTGTTGTTTGTGTTTATACCTTGTACGATTCTCTAAATATAATGCTATTTGGAAACAATGTTGAAATTCGCATTCTTCGGCTACTGTTCGTAGTTTTGCAAATTTTTTCCAAAGTTTGTGTTTCACCAGTAACATTATCTTCCATTTATTGTGAATGTATATCATAAAAATGTCTGATCGAAGTCTTGTTTTCTCTTTCTAGTGTCTGCGTTTGCAGCACCCTGCCCAAGCTCTTATCTACCGTTTGACGTAGCTTCCTACAGGACAGCTGAGCACCAAATCACCAAACCAGTGTCGTTTGCATGTATAAAGACATTGGACAACCACGACCAGAGTTCTGCAAAATAAACCACTAATCTATTTTTTTTAAATATATATTTTGTCAGGCACCGAACCAACTAACTTAATGCGATTGTAAGGTTATACTTCAGATCTGTTTTCAACTGATAGATGAATCTGCCATTCACGAGACAGGAAGATAAACATGTCTAAGAAAGTACCAAAGCTTTCCCATCCTGTATGGTTTCGGCAAAGGGAACATGGGAAACAAGTACCTCTCAGATATTCAAATGCTTTTAACAAGAGTTTGAATTCCTCCATCTCGGCATACCAATCTTGGATCAAAGAAGAAAATTCGGAGAGTGTGCACGGCGGAGTGCTGACCTTGGACTTCTCCCCTGATGGAGCTCTTCTGGTGGCAGGTTGTGCGAGGAACAGCTTCCTGACCTTTGATCCTTTATCTTGCAAGTTGATTCGCACAGTTGACAACGCGCACGAAAGTAGCGTTACTAATGTGAAGTTTTTGGATTCCCGAACTTTTGCAACGGGCAGTTCGGACAAGACTGTCTGCTTGTGGGACACCAGAAATCTGAAGACACGACTGCGAACTTTCCGGGGGCATGCAAGCACAATTGGAAATATTGATTTTTCACCAAAAAATAACTTGCTAATAACGTCTGGACTAGATGGAATTATTTACTCATGGGATATGAAGGTAAGCGTAGAAACAGATATTTGCAGAAAGATATTCAAGTCTTATGTTCTCATGCGCCATCGATTAATCGTCGATGAATCGAAAATGATAATTTCTACGGCGAGGGGTTATCTCATTCTTATTCACGACTTAGATTTGAACACACTCGCTTTGGACGAGATATTCGGGACAACATACGTGAAAGAGACGGTCACTAAACCGTATTCCATTGCTAATCGCAGAAGAAACCGCGTGGAGATTGTGGCAGACTTCCCGTATCCAAACAGATTCAGCGTCATCTCTGCGCTGGAGGTGCACCCTGAGGGCTGGAGTGCGATCAGTCGCAGCACGTGCGAGGCGAGCGAAGAAGAGTGGACGTGCGTGCACGACATCCGGGACACGGAGCCCTCCGAAGGCCCCCAGCGCCAGAGCGCCGCGGGGGCGGAGCACAGGGCGGAGGACGGAAGGCGATGCGGTGGTCGGGGAGACGAGGCAGGCGCCACTGGGCCTTCCCGGGCGGTGGGCCCCCCACCAGGCCCCTCCCCTGCGCCCCACGGGGCCCTTGTACGAGCCAGCCCTACGCGTAGTCGAGCTTCGAGCCTGGTGCTGGAGCCTTCCTCGTTCGATTGTCGCGATTCGAGTATTACACAATGGAATCCTGCACCTCTTTCACGTACCACAAGACTGACTCACTGTATTGAGGAACGATTTGACAACGAGTGGTATATCGATAATCTCTGTATTTCCGCTGATGGTCGTTTAATATGTTCCCCATTCATGTGTGGCATTAGGTTACTTACATTTTTACCCGAGTGTTCCGAGGTGCCTGTTCCTTTGTCTCAATCAGTGCAGAGTCGCTTACACGAATTTAAAACGTACGTTTCTGACACTGAAATTGTAGTGTGCGCAAAATTTTCGCCCCGACACTCTTTGTTAGCAATTGGATGCTTAGGTGGGAGACTTGGTTGGTATCAACCTGTTCTGTGATTGTTTTACCTTCTAGATTCGACTTAAGGAACGGAGCATCAAGACAGTCTTTTCATCATTGTGTTTTTCAGGCTAAATATCAAATAATCACTCTTCAAAAAGATTAACTCACAAACAGACTTTTGGGGTTACTCTATTAATTTTTAAACAGCAATCCTATTTAAAATGTCTTTAAATTCCTGACGCACGCGTATGTGACTGAAAATTGGATTGATTCCAATCTTTATCGGAAAAACAGGTATGGGAATGTTATTTAAATGACGTAGGCGTCCGTGGCCAGAGTCATGATTTGCTCTGTCCGGGTGACGCCACGTCAAAGGCTGAGGTGCCGAAGTTTGGACCAACATATCGCGGTATAGTGCCATAAACTACGGCCTTGAAGATCGCGATATGTTGATCGAATCTTCGGCACCTCAGACTTCGACACAGCGTCACGCGACAGCCCAGATCATACATTTTATTTTACTCATTATATTGTGTTTCGGCTTACAGGAGGTCGCATTATATTGTTTTTAGTAGCAATGGAAGTCTTAGTAACAGAACTAAATATTAATTTTGAAATTAGACAAGAGAGAATGGAATGATATTTAACTGCAAGTTTCGTAGAAGAAATTAATGATAATGAACAAAGTTTTGTGAACGGTCAATCTAAAATGAGATACAATTTAAATTTCAGCCTTTTCTGTAAAGATTTTTTCTAAACGACGAAAGGTAAAAAAAGTTACGGAACTTAACCACGATCTTACACCTAAATTTAGAATGATCGTCTACAAGACTTAGTTGATGGACGTTAATCTGTCCTACGAAGCTTGATATTAATCTAAATTTCATTCTCTCTGAACCTCTTTCGCAGATTTCAGGTTTGATTCTAAGATTTCCATTGCTAAAAAACGATATGGTGCGAATTCATCGAAGTCGAGAGGATAATGTAATGAATAAAAAAAACGTTTACATAAAAGTTTATACGTGAAAGCATCATAATAGTCAGTTTTAAAATTGTCAGAATTTTAAAATAAGAATGTATTATGATACAATAGAGACAAATGTTTCCTATTGTTGATATTTAAACAATTATCCATGAAGATTTTCAGTCACACACGAGATAATCATAAACGTTTCTTATTTCTTTTAAAACTAATCTTTTAAAACGTTAATATCTTCCGCCATGCCAATAAAGCACAGTATATCATGATACTAGTACTATGAAAACACAGTTACTGTAGATTAATTGCGTATCAACCGATTTTTCAAGTAGAGTTTTCATTGCTTATATTTTCAAAATCCTTACAATGCTGATAATGCTGACGACGCAGACGGCATAAACTGTGCAGTTGTTGACATGACAGTAGAAAGCATCCCGTGCTAACACACCATGTATTCCACCTCTGCCAGACGACTGGTCCGAAACATCACGAAATTAATGTGCTAATTACATAGGGGTGTTAAATTTTTCCCCACTTTCGACCCGTGTCGATGACGCGTGTTTTCCTCAGTGGGAGTACAGTTCAGTGAATGCCCAATTACGTGGACAACGAACGTCACTCACTGCAGTCCGGACCTTTTATTTGAGTTGACAGCTATTGGAGAAGCATCAAAATTCCAGCAATAATCAGCCCCCAACTATAACGCTACCACACATAGAAATATCAACTAACATATCCCCAATGAAGTCATTCATATAATTAAGAATTTGCCAATAAAAAAAGGTCCGCTGGAGCACGACAAAAATAAGTAACCAAAAATCGTTAAGAAAACTTACCTAAACCACAATAGCATTATATCACCAATATTTACAATTTCAATAAATTCTAGAACTGGTTACTTCCCCGTTATTTGGAAAATGACAAAATGTAATACCCAGTCCCCAAAGTCATTTCAAAAATCTATCAAGAACTGAAAATCTCATTTGAAGGTAATTGTAGGATTCAACTCTATTTGAATCGAGATTGTGTTACGTACGAGTCCACACCCATTATTGTTACCACCAGTGTTTTAATACTCTAACTTTACAGTAATGTAATTGACAATGATAACTGCAATGCCACGTTATCTTAAAAGAAAAATAAATTCGAAAGATTTCTCATTTATGGTAATGGGTTAAGGTTTAACTCTCATCTAATCGAGACGTTTTTCGATACACCAGTCCAACGCAGCAGTGTGCACCACCACATCAGCTTGCAGCGCGGATTGGTGGACAGAGACGTGCAGGAAAGAGTCAATTTAGTGGTGCTGCATTGGTACCGCCCAGGGATGTGTTGAACCGTACCGTCTCCAGCTTGCGAAGCCCGCATGCGCTGAGGTTCCGTAGATTGTCGGATCCATCTCTGAAACAAGTGCCATTGAGCATGGTCCCCCAGTTCCCTCGTATTTGTGGAAATCAGGCGAGTGTTGGTGGGGTAGTAGGAGTACTGCTAAAATTAATTCTGGTGTCTGCCTGTAGAACCATCCCACGCATTCTTGACTATGCCGGGTTGGAGCCGCGTCGTCGGTCACATTGAACTGACGGTTTCCGGCCATCTTTGCTATGCGCCGTTCTTCAAAGCCGATACATGCTGCCAAAGAGCGTTAGATATGTTCATTATTGTGTTGAATTATGCATTGTTAATGTAAAATCAATTTAACTAAAAATTATGGTTTACAACTATGTATAGAAAATGCCAATACTACCAACGAATGTAAATATATTCTGCTACATGTATATTAGTTTATGTAATAAATTTTATTATTGCATTGGTGAAAATGTGTATTGTGAGATGTCCCTTATGACAAGTAAAGGAATGTTGTGTCCTCAAATACTTACATTTTTAGTCAATTTCTTCCTCGTAAACGTTAGTCAAATAAGCCAGGAGAGATTGTTGGTCCGTCAGTAAAGTTTTCCTCGAAACATTTTGCTCTGCACGTTGGACTGGGTGGTATACAACTGATTCTCAACCCTAAAAGTAGACGAAGGATTTTCTCAGGAAATGAATTATTCCTCGATCAGATCTGCCTGGATCGCACTGAAGATTCTGCCGAGATTTGACAAGACTGGTCCTTGATTTGGGGGGAGGGTTACATAAAGTTCCCGGGACACTTTCAAAGAAATCTCAAACATTGCTCACAAGATTTCTTAATGGTTGGGTTCAAATTAGAAGACAAGAGTATTCCAAAAATGCCTGAAAAGGTCTGACAGCTACAGTTGTATAATATGAGCAGCCAGTTTTCCCTTATTTAACAAATTGTAAGTTTTGGAGTTACAATTTTAAGAAAGGTGTTTGCTGGAATAAGTCAGCTTAATACTGTTAGCGTAGTGTCCGGAGTTTACGGAAAACCTTCGGGATTCGAAGAGGAGAGAAAAGTGGAGTGCTAAATTAGTTACACCAGTTATTGAAGCAATAATTGTTTCTTTAATGCCAATCTTTCTCAATATTAGCTTTAAGAATTATTTTGGTGTATAATTCTTACAAATTAACCAAAATTGCTAACCTGAAAAGCATTTGATCCCGCTCTCAAGTCATTGAACTTATGATTAGGGGTTTTTTCCAGATGTGAGGATTGAAGATATGATATTGAAAATTGAATGGAATATGCCTTATTAATTTAACGTTGTGGCGAGGGACTCGGGCCGATCAGCCCCCGCCTCTTCCGTGCGAGCCAACGCAAATTTCGCGTAACGTCCTTATTATAGCAGAGAAGAAGGTATTTCTTGGGCGAGAAAACAGGCGATATTGAAGTATAGCTCAGAGGCGTCATTAAGGCTGAGGATCTTACATGCAAGTAAATCTGGAGCGAAATAGGGACAGCCAGCTTACTCGGCCCTCCGGGAAGGAAGGCCGTGGATGAAGGATTTTTCGCCCTCATAATCCCACGGCTTCGATCGTGAGTGTTGAACCGCCAACTTGGTACAACAGCTCCAGGTTACGCTAACCCCGTTACACCTCACCGCCCCGCCCTCCCCCCGGATCCGAGTGTATTTACATTGCACAATCAATAGGAATGACCAAACCGGACGAGAGTGGAGATTTGCCTGGGGTCTCTTAACCGATCAGTATTAATTGTCGTCCCTTACTTTGTTTTCCGCGGAGCGCATTCGGTTGAACGCTGAGGCTTGGGTATTTAAGATGTTTTAGGATATGGTGAGATTGAGCGCCAACACTTGGCTTTGGCGGAGGATACCTATTGCGAGAGATGTCGGGCAGGTGCTGTGTCAGGCTTTCCCGCCGTAAATTTAGGGGGGAATTAAGGTAAAAATAATGATTTTGTTGGTGGCAAATTTATTTGTTTTGTTGAGGGACTGTTCGGTTTAGTAATTTAAATTTAAAAATAGGGTTACCTACCAGAAAAAAAACATCCAAAAAAGAGAGTTTCCGTTAGGCAATAGATGTGCAAGAGTAGTATTAATCAAATATAAACTAGAGAGGTAGAAAAAACACTAGGCGATGTAATATTATTGGAGATGAAGTCCTGGCGTTTAAAAATTGGGTGGTTATTTGTCTCAACCAGTCCCAACCAAAGATTACGGTTTTCATCGTGATCAGTAGCTTGAACGTTACCATGAATGACATCCACCAATGGAGCGCTCAAGCTCCCGAATGGATGATAGACCTTCAAACAGCTGATATCTGCCACGGCAGACTTGCATTAAATCGCGTTATAAGAGCTGGGGTTCCCACCCGGGGGAAAAATTTTTTTCCCCAAGTATTCGTCCAATATTCGTTCACTGCCCTGAAGAAGCCTGCGATATGACAGGCGAACCGCAGCCTCTCAGCCAACGCGCGGCGTCACCCGGACAAACTCAGAGTTCCACGGATTTCCAGTATCCTTGCTAATGCTGTGATTTGTGCTACACTGAGCAGATTTGTTGTGGTCTGGTGTGAAGTTGTGAGAAGGTGTAGTGTATAAATAATGGACTCGAAGAGCCATAGATGGCACTTAAAAAAAAGCTTCGCTTATCTGATTGAAAAGTTTGCCGTAAGTGTAAATAGTATAGACTACTGTGTAAGTGTTTAATACGCAGAATATAAATTTATATGTTCCGTTTCCGTAACTTGTATATTTTAGATAAAGATCGTGGGGTGTTAAGGCTTAGGAATGTAACGAAAAAACAGCATTTTAAAATCGCAGGCACTGTCAGCAGGGAAATCTTATTTTGACGATAAAGACTGAACCAATGGTCCGATTTTTCATTCTGTCAACGCATTTGACACCTATTTAAAATAGAATATACGCTACGAAGCCGTTAAAAAACCAGCGAAAACTCCCAATGAAAACATTGGTTGCTCGAGGAACTTCGAGAAAAGAATTTAAAAAATGGGCGATTTAGGGGCGACATCTTCCTGAACCCAAGCGCCGTATCAATTATGCCAAAATCGGGTGAATAGCGAGCGTCGTAAAGTGAGAAATTGGGAGAAGAACACTTTCGTCTCCTGGTCCTTCCACATCCGTTGCGTCAGTCAGTGTCCTGGTGTTGGGCCATCTCGTCGGGAGGCCGCGGGCGGAATGGCCAGCTCCCCGCGTTGGGTGCTGTCGAGCCTCAGCAGAGGGAGCCGAAAATGGCGGGAATAGGCAAAGCCAGGGCGCAGTCGGTTATGCTTTTTGCGTCACTTGCAGTGTCTCAAATATATTTTCCTCCCAACAAATCCAAACTAGTGATGCGGTGATAACAAAGTCAGAATGGCTGGCGTATCATCTGTGTAATAGTAGTATAAAAGCTATTTATGTGTTCACATATTTTCTCTCTTTCCTGTCGAATGACCGTCATAAAATTGTTGGTTGAAGGCATTACTCAAAATCTCGATTCGATTGAACTGATTGAGAAAAAAAAAATTGAGACTAGATTGTGGTTAATGTCACCATGATTAGGCCATCTCCGGTCCACCATCTGTATTTTTTACATTTATTTGACTTTAAGAATCTATCGTGTCATCCAGCTACCGCAAAAGAATTGAGCAGAATACGCCGAGCTACTTTTACCTAACTAGCTGCGATTTTTGATCTGCAAAGACGGCGGGTTGTCTCCTTTCAGTAGAATTCTTATGTGCATTGCCTCCATTCCTCCAAGAGATGAAGCTTAATTTTAATATTTTCGTACTAATTCCGGAGAATAAATGTGAAAAGCGGGTAAAGTTAAGGGTGCAGTGTGCCATTTTCGAGAGCCAAATTTATTCTGTCCGTGAATAGTTATAGGATTCCTAAACCAGGACGGATTTGTGGCGAGGTTGTGTAAATTTTGAATATATATTTGTTGAGAATGCTAATTTGTAGTGAGTGTTTGCAATTGACAATCGCTGGGGGGTGAGTGCCGAGTAATTAACAGCTCACTACAACGTCAACTTTGAGGCAGATGGAGTACTCTTGAAAATTGGAAGAAGGAGTAACAACAATGGGCTAACGATATTTCAGATTGTTGAAAAACTGCACTAATTTACGATGAAATCAAAGTTGTTTGCGTGTTCAATGTTACGATTTTCAGGCAGGAGGAGTATGGGCGTGACGAGTAGAGGAGAGAAAGACAG